CGATCATCTGTCCACAAGCTCAGTTCTGATAGATAGTTTTGCATGAAAGCCATTCTTCACCCAGCTTGTTGGGAATACAAAGTTTCTTTTCAGGTGGAAATTGCAATATATACATATATATGGGGAGGTACTAGCTCCAACATGGTTTTACAGTGAAAACGGCAGGAACTTCAAACAGGCACTAGGAAACAGTGTGATAAAGCAGATAAAGTGTTTCACCTTCTATCCGTTCCCTTTGTGCTAGACGAAAGTATTTCTTACCACATGCTCAGTTGTGAGAGATAAGTGTGTGTGAAAGCCGTACTTCACCTAGCTTGTTGGGAGCACAAAGTTTCTTTTCAGTTCGAAACTACACTACATACATATATATGGGGTTGTACTAGCTTCAAATCTCTTTTACAGTGAAAACTGCAGGAACTTCATACCGGCAGTAGGAACCAGGCTGAGAAACCAACAAATTGTTTCTCCTGCAACCCATTCCCTTTGTGCTACATGAACGACGTCTCTCCTCATACTCAGTTTTGAGACATAAGTTTGAGTGAAAGCTGTTCTTCACCTAGCTTGTAGGGAACGCATAGTTTCTTTTCAGTTGGAAACTACACTACATACATATATAAGGAGAATTACTATCTCCAACTCGGATTGACAGTGACAAATGCAGGAACTTCTAAACGGCACTAGGAAACAGGCTGAGAAACCAGAGAAAGTGTTTCTCTTCAACCCGTTCCCTTTGTGCTTGCTGAACTAACTTCTCTCCATATATTCAGTTCTGAGGTATGAGTGTGTGTGAAAGCCATCCTTCACCTACCTTGTTGGGAACACAAAGTTTCTTTTCAGTTCTTAACTACACTACATACATATATATGGGGAAGTTCTAGCTCCAACTCGGTTTTGCAGTGAAAACTTCAGGAACTTCAAAACGGCAGTAGGAAACAGGCTGAGAAACCAGAGTGATTGTTTCTCCTTCAACCCTTTCTATTTGTGCTAGATCAACGAAATTCTCTCCACATGCTCAGTTCTTAGAGTTAAGTGTGAGTGAAAGCTGTCCTTCAACAACTTTTTGGGAACACAAAGTTTCTTTTCAGCTGGAAACTACACTACATACATTTATATGGGGAGGTACTAGCTCCAAATTGGTTTAACAGTGTTAATTGCAGGAACTTCGAACCATCTCTAGGAAACAGGCAGAGAAACCAGATTAATTGTTTTTACTGAAAACCGTTCCCTTTTTGCTAGATGAACGTACATCTCTACACATGCTTAGTTCTGATGGAGAAGTGTGTGTGAAATCTGTCCTTCACCAATCTTGTTGGGAGCACATAGATTCCTTTCAGTTGGAAACTATGATGCATACATATATAAAGGAGGTACTAGCTGCAAATCGGGTTAGCAGGGAAAATTGCAGGAACATCAAACCGGTAATAGCAGACCAGATGAGAATCAAGTTTAACTGTACCTCCTGAACACCTTTCTATTTGTGCTACATGAACGAACGTCTCTGCACATGCTCAGTTCTCCAAGATATGTGTATGTGAAAGCCGATCTTTATTTTTCTAGCTGGGAACACAAAGTTTCTTTATATTTGTAAACTACACTTCATACATATTTATGGGGTAATAGAAGCTCCAACTCAGTTTCACAGTGAAAAATGCAGGAAATTCAAACTGCACTACATAGCAGTCTGAGAAATCAGAGTAACTCTTTCTCTTGCAAACTGTTCCTTTTGTGCTTGTTGAATGAACGTCTCTCAACATGCTCAGTTCTGACAGATATGTGTGTGTGAAAGCCATCCTTCACCTTGCTTGTTTTGAACACAAAATTTTTTTCAGTTTTACACTATGCTACATAAATATACATGGGGAAGTACTTGCTCCAACTCTTTTTTACAGTGAAAACTTCAGGAACTTCAAACTGGCAACAGATAACAAGAGAAGAAACCAAAGTGTTTATACTGCATCCTGATCCCTTTGTGCTAGATGAACGAACGTCTCTCCACATGCTTCGATCTGAGAGATAATTGTTTGTGAAAGCCATACTTCCCTTAGTGTGTTTGGAAAATAGAGTTTCTTTTCAGTTGGAAGCTACCCAACATAAGTTTATATGGGGAGGTACAAGCTCCAACACTTTTTTACATTGAAAATTGCAGGAAATTTGTACCGGCACTAGTTAACACCCTGAGAAACCAGAGTAATTATTTTTCCTGCAGGTCATTCCCTTTGTGCTTGATGAACGAACATCTATCCACATAA